GTGGCCTAGAAAACTCAACTTGCAAAAGTTAGGCCACCACGTTAAAATATGTTCGTTTCGAAAAATTTCAAAAAATTTAGAGAAATGATCAGGATTACTGTACCTCCTCACTCCTGCGATTCGTCAAATCGTGCACGAGAATCGCGCCAACGGCGCCCTCGAAAAACACCTGAGCCGCCTGTCGATGCGCCACCATTCCTCCAACATCCCACAACTCTAGAAGCTCTGAACGTTGCTCCGGTGTGCCAGCGCGATAGTCGTGCCACGCCATGATTACTGTAGCACCGATTGTCGAGTCGAAGTTTCGGCCCGGTTGGCTGGCAATACAATGACAAAGGGACGTTTTGCCAACACATGAGTCGCCGAGGACCAAGATCTTTGTGGATGTCTCGTCGAGAGAGGACATTTTGAAGTTTGGCGGGAATTTGAATATTTCAAAATTTGAAATTTATGGACGACGGATTTCCAGACAAAGAGAGCACGATGAGCACTCGAAGATTCCCACGTCAATGATTTGATCTACCTGGAAAATAAATATTGATTGCTAGAACTCAGCTTATAGCAACTGCGCTCTAATGATAATTCTATCTAACTATTGTTCTAGGCGGTTAAAAGCGGTAAAAACTATATCATTTGAACTGACAAGAGGAGGCACTTGCGCTCTACCGTACCCCGTCATAAAGTTGAAATGTAGACTTATAGCAACTGTGCACTAATGCTAATCCTGCGTTATCTACTGTTCTAGACGGCTTTAAGCGGACAAATTAGTATCATTTTAACAGTAAAAAAGGCGCGAGTTCAAAAATCCTGAAATTTTCATAATCAGTTCTTTAGCAATCGCGATCTAATGCTAATCTTGCTCTAACTGTTGTTCTAGGTGATTAAGACCGGTAAAAACTATATAATTCGACCTGACAAAAGGAGGCAAATGCGCTCCACCGTACCTCCTCTAGTGTTAAATTGAAATCTGCTCCACAACGACAAATCTCGTCGATGTCGTTATCACCGTAAGCCAGCTCGATCGTCTCGCCAATGGTTCCCTGGGTTTCACGAAGACGTTGCTCGCGGAGCCACGAATCGTAGATTTGGCGGTTTTCCTGGAAAAAAATAGTTGGTTTTGGTCCCACGACGACAACTTTTTTTGGTCCCACGACGACAACTTTTTCGATTTTTCAGTTTTTTTCTAAAAAGAGATTTTTATTTGAAAAAGTGAAAATATTTTTAAGTTACGGTAGTTTTCGTTGTGGGACCTTCGGGAGAATCGAAAATTGGGGGAAATTCAAAATTTTCGAAATTTCGAAAAATTGATTTTTTTTCAAATTCTCAAAAATGGGATTTTCGCCGGTTTTCAAGGTCCCGCAACGACAACTACAGTAACCTAAAAAATGTTTTTTTGTAATTTTTTTTGCGAAAAATGGAATTTTTTTTGAATTTTTCGATAAAAAATCTGAAAATTCAAAATCTCAGAATATCGGCGAAAAACCCCCTTTTCGGAGATTTATCGATTTTTTTTCAGTATTTTTTCCGGAACTTTACAAAAAAAAATAACGAAATTTACAGTGATTTTTTTCAAAAAATTGAACCTTGAAAATTAAAATTTTTTTAGATTACGGTATTTGTCGGGATGGGACCTGTGGAATTGGCGGAAATTTGAATTTCTCAAAAAATTTCCAAACCTTAAATTGCTCCCAAATTTGCCCCACCGCCTTCAGCAATTCTGAATTCGAGTCTTGTTTTCCGGGATTCTTATCTGGATGCTCCTAAAAAAATTTTTTTTGGAATTTTCAAATTTCCCAAAAAATTCTACTTTTCTCAAAAACCGAAAATACGCCTTTTTGACGTCCTCAAACTGGGCGCTCTCCTCGATGCTGATGATATCGTAGAAGCTTTTCATAAGACGGCGGGAAATTCAAATTTTTCGGACTAAAAAAATTTTGGGGCCTAAATTCAAAAATTTAGAAAAAAAGAAATATAAAAAAGCGAAAAATCACATTTTTAGGCGATAAGAAATGGTGAAAATGGAGAAATTAGAGAGTGAAAAAAAAATTCATTGAAAAAAAATTTTTGTGAGATCAACAGAAAAATTTTAAAGTACCATTTTTGGGGGCCAGTTCTTTTTTCCAAAAGAAACCTTTTAACTTTTAAAGGGACATAGAAGAAAAGATCTACACGTAAAGCTACAGTATACAAAATTGGGGGTTTTCTTTCGTTTCGAGACCTATACAGGGGGGGGGGGGGGGGATATTACAAAGATTGCAGATGGTGGGGAAATTGCACACAAGTCAGAGAAGAAATTTGAAAAATTGTACAAAATGAAAAATTGTAAAAATTCAAAAAAAAATTAATCAGGTTGTGAGATATCTCCATGCCAATGATAGCCGTATTCATTCTTGTACTGAGCCATGGCTCGGGAAATTGCCGCTGATGAGGAGGCGATTTGTTCCATTGGGTCTGAAAATAGTTTTCAAATTTTTATATTTTTGCTATTTCTATAGGTGGCCTAACTTTTTCAAGATGAATTTTCTAGGCCTCCATCGTAAACAGCCTAGAAATGGTTCTGATGCGTTTTTAGGACATTTTGGCATGATGGTCTAACTTTTGCAAGTTGAGTTTTCTAGACCACTATGGTAAATAGCCTAGAAATGGTCAGATATTCATCTGGCGTGTTTTCTAGGCCATTTTAGCATGGTGGCCTAACTTTTGCAAGTTGAGTTTTCTAGGCCACGTTCAATATTCATCCTTTTCTGCTCTAAAAAAGCACTCACTCATGCCCTCCTGTCCACTTTGACTGCCTTGAGAGCTGGCTTGTGATCCGCCGGATCCACGTGTTTTCTCCTCTGCTCTCTGTCGATTCCGTCGCTCGTTGACGATCGCCACATCAGCCTCGTCGCGATCCTCGTTGTCGCCAGCGATCGCTTGACGCTCCTCGCCGTTTTCTTGCTGGAAAGAAGGGCTTAAAATCGAGAAACCCCTGGCCTTTTTTGGCTATTTTTGGGCTAATTTACGCCGTTTCAAAGCTAGATCAAAATTTCCAATTTCTAATAATCTCACCTCGTTCTCCGCTCGATTTCTACCTCCAATTCGATAGCTGACGTTTGCATATGTCCTCAGTGAGGGACATTTGTCCAGAAGGAACGGGCAGAGGGGTTTTCGTAGGCCAAACCACCAGATATTGGTTTGAGGTGTGGAGGATGGTCCACCGAATCCTGCTGACATGATAGCCATGAAGAAGAACGAGACTTGGAGTGGTGCCATCGCGAGCTGGAAGAATTTTTTTTCAAAAACCTGTATTAGAAGGGCCGACCTTTTTCGTGTGGTCTCTAGAGGGCACATGAGCCCTTCTAATGCAGGTTTTACGGTAGGTCTAGAACCCGAAATTTTCAAATTTCTAGGCCACTTACCGTGTAACTCAATTCGGAGACTGACGACTTATCACTCCAACTCATCGAATCCAGTTTTCCAGTGAGAAGAACCAGACAGACCAATGCAGGAATCACCTGAAAATATATCAGATTAAGGATTTGTGGCTGAAAATGTCGAAAATTTTCAGGCTCGTTTTGGCTGGAAATCTGTCATTTTTGAGCCAAATTGACCCATTTTACCTCAGTTTGGACCAGAATTTCTAGTTGAAAATCAGCACATTTTGACATCGTAATCCCTTTTTAAATGAGCCAAATTGACCCAAAAACTCACAAAGAACGTATGCAAAATCGCGGAATACACATGCTGTCTTCTGTGTGCTGGAATGAAATGACGGGATCGAATGAGCACAACGGAGAGCACCAACGCGTAGAGCACACCGACGGCAGCCAGGGAGAGCACCACCCAAAGGGGTATGAAGACCACTGCCCACGTCCAATCGACCTGGAAAAATAGGACTGATTTCTCATTTTGAACTGGGAATCCTATATTTGTACTTTGAGCTCAATTATCTCGGCTCCTATAAAAGATATCAAGAATCTTTCAACTAACAAAATACTTATCATAATATCAGTAACATTTCATTAGTTGAGCGATTTCCAATATCTCTTATAGGAACCGAGATAATTGAGCACAAAGTATACTACCGTATACACTAAAAACTAAGGGAGAGTTGAGTCGCCAATAGCCCGCCAACGACCCGTCCAAACTTTGAGCTCCATTATCTCGGTTCCTTTAAAGGAGGCCAGACACCAAAAAAAAAAGTTTTCCTGATATTTTGCATAGAGAACCCCCATGAGGGGTTGAACTCATGACAGGCAGCTCAGGGGTACAGCGCCGCTACCGGCTGAGCTACGGGGGCGCGAAGGCGCCTGACGACCGATGGTCTACATAAGCGCAACGCGATTTCGTCCCCCGAACTGCCCCCGAAATTTTTGCTCCTTTAAAAGATATCAAGAATCTTTCAACTGATAAAATACTTATCATAATATCAGTAACATTTTATCAGTTGACAGATTTTGTATATCTCTTATAGGAACCGAGATAATTGAGCTTTCCTCACCTGCTTATCCAATTTGAACGCGATAAACACGAACTGAACGATGTTCATAGCGTAGAAGAACTCGAATTCGAATGGTTTATCGTGTCGGAGTGCCCAGACGGCGATTCCAATGGAAGCGGCGGATAGGGAGAATAGGGGACAGAAGACAATGGTCCATGGGAATGGGTAGCCTGGTTCGGAGATGTCTTCGTATTCTAGCTGGAAAATTGAGGGGTTTGGGAGTGGAAAATTGGTGGAAATCGGTGAAAAATTGGTGAAAAATGACCTAAATTTGATGGAAAAATCGAATTTTTCCAATAATTTATGTTATTTTTATTTGCATTTTCGATTCATACCGCCACGATTTTTCTATACTTTTTTCTATACTTTTCTATGTCATTTTTTTTTTCGTTTTTAAAACCTTTTTTACCTTTACAAAGGCGAAAGTCTCGAAAACAGCTAACAAAATGTGCTCAACAACTGTTATACACATCGCTCCGAAGTCTACACGCATCATGATTTCGTTTCTGTAAAAAAACTTAATTATCTTCATAATTAACCAATTAACTCACCTTGAGGGTGGATTTGAACAATAGGAACACATTCCAATGAGGCCCCCAATGAAAACGAGAAGATTACAAGCCCATAAAGGTGCAAAAACAAAGGCGTAGCTGAAAAATGAGGTTTAAATTCAAATTTACAGATTTTACTTACCTAAAACCAACTTTTCCATCGAGTTTTAGTGTGAAAAGTGTGAGGAAAACTAGAAGACATGCGCAGAGAATTACTTTTCTGAAAATTGAAAAATCCATTTTTCAAAGTTTTGAGACACTTACGATGCATTGAAGGAGCGAAAAAAGACGCCTAGACTGAGTTCCACCATTTTTAGCCAATATTTTTAGAGAATTGGCATCGGAACCTAATTGGAAGACCTGGAAATCCGAAAAAATCAATAGAAAAATAAAAGAAAAGAAAAGTCAACTGCGTGCGGAGCGCTTGCGAAACCCGCGCGCGGGGCTTGCAAAAAAGGGAGAAAAGGGGCGGAGCGTCGGTTGTAATTGATTTTTTGGCCAATTTCAAAGTTTTTTCAATGTTTAAATACAGTTTCGCAACCAGAATGACTCATTTTTGTTGATTTTTGAAGTTTCGCGCCACGTAGCTTATCACTGCGCACCTATTTCATACTAAATTCGTGTTGATTCAGATCGAAAAATGGGTAAATTCCTGTCAAAAATTTTCGGAAAAAAAGAGCTCCGAATATTAATGCTCGGACTCGACGCAGCCGGCAAGACCAGTGAGTTTTTAAGGAGCATAAAATAGAGAAAATTCCGGAAAATATTCGAAAAAATTCCAGCAATCCTCTACAAACTAAAACTCGGCCAATCAGTGACAACAATTCCGACAGTCGGCTTCAATGTGGAAACTGTCACATATAAAAATATCAAATTCAATGTTTGGGTAAGGAATTTTTGCCTTTTTTTGAATTTCGGCGCCAAAAATATACTAGAAAATTCTTCAGGACGTCGGTGGCCAGGACAAAATTCGACCCCTCTGGCGGCACTATTATACAGGAACTCAAGCGTTGATTTTTGTGATGGATGCTGCAGATAGAGACAGGTAAGAGTTAGATTTCTGTGAGATTTGAGAATTTTTGAGCCAAAAAGTCAATTTTCAGAGTCGACGAGGCGCGAATGGAGCTGCACCGAATAATCAACGATCGCGAGATGAAGGAGGCGATTATTCTGGTGTTCGCCAATAAACAAGATCTTGCTGATGGTAGGCTCTACGATTTTGCGAGAAAAAAATTAGACAAAAAATTGATTTTCAGCAATGAAACCGCACGAAATTCAGGACAAACTGGGGCTGACGAGGATTCGAGACAGGAATTGGTGAGTGGAAAGCTATGACCTAGTTTTTTGGATTTCCTAGGCCACGGCCTAGTTATGTTGATTTCCTATGTCACGACTTCGATGGATTTTCTAGGATGTGACCTACTTTTTCTGATTTTCCAGGTCGTGACCAATTTTTTGAATTTTCTAGGCCACGGCCTCATTTTTTAACTTGAAATGACTCTAAATTGGCTAAAAATGGGCCAAAATCGACCATTTTTCAAAAATCCGTGATTTTTTTTTGGGAAATTTGGCCAAATCGAACCAAAAAACACTCATAATTTACTGAAAATGGTTCAAAGTTGCCAAAAAAAAGGTAGAAAGTTTGTCGAATTTCACATGATCACATTTATGAATTAAAATGGCCCAAAATTGGCGTAAAATGTCCCAAAATCGACCTAAAATGTTTCAAAAATCGTTTATTTCTTCCCAAATTTGGCCGAATGAAAACAAAATACATTCAAAATTCACTGAAATCAGTTCAAAATTGCCTAAAAATGGTTCTAAAAATGCTGACACTCCGCTGAAATGCCCAGAAAAATGGTCCAAAAATCTGTCTTTTTTCTTCAAAGTTCTGTCAAAAAATCACTCAGAATTAATCTAAAATAGTCGGAAAAGCCTGAAATTCGGCAGATTTCTAGGCCACAAGCTACTAATAGTTATGTTGATAGCTAAAAATCCAATTTAATATTTTTCCAGGTACGTGCAACCGTCGTGCGCTGCCACCGGAGACGGTTTACACGAAGGACTGACGTGGCTGAGTCAGAATTGCAAGCCCTAACGCCTCCTTCTGTGAACTCTGGAAACGAACTGAATTCACTCCAAAAACAATATATCTTGCCTTTTTTTTTTGAATTTCTCAAATTTCCCGCCCATATATATCCTATCTATGTTTATACAGTATTTGCTCGAGAATTCCTGTCTAAAATGTCTATTTCTCCCCCCTCTCCTTTCGTTTTAATGCTATTTTTATCATCTGGAACTGTTTAACCACCCCATAATCTGAGTGCCATTTTTTATCTGATCGCGATGTAACTAAAAAACCAAAAATTGAGAAAAAATTGTTCGAAAAATGTCAAAACGCCCCAAATTTTACGGAATTTTTCTAAAAAATTTTCCAATTTTATTCGCCTTTTCGCTTTTCCTCTACTATCATAGGTGCCCAATTTCTTCCTCTTTTTCACTTACAAAAATGTATCCCCGTTTTTTTTTCTTTGAAAATTTATTTTTTCTATCACTGAAAAATGCTTATTTATCCTATTTTTTGACACTAAAAATAGCTGAAAATTTTCGATTTTTCTAGAATTTTCAGTGTTTTTTTCAGGATAATTTTTCCCCAAAAATTCTACTTTCAGGGTATTTAAATCTGAAAAAATGTTTTAAAAATTCAAAAATAAAAGAAAATTTCAGATGTCACGAGTGGCACTCAATATGGATAGTTATGAGGGGAATGGTATTTAAAAATCAACATTTGAAAAAAAGCCCCGCCCCTTTTTCTAGACACCCCATCGGTTGAAATCGCTCGTTTTGTGGTGTTATATGGAAAAGCGTCGACTAGGAAACACAAAATTTGGGAGGGCGATGGTTTGTTGGTGTGCTATGGCGATTCGTGTATGCTGAAATCGGAGGATGAGCGGGATGTGATTTGCAGGTGCTGCTGGAAACCGCTGAAATGCCTAAAAATGGAAAAATCGAAAATTTCTGGAATTCTTGAAAAAAAAGAAAAATTGCTAAAATTCCTTTAAAAATGGAGAATCGCTGAAAATCTGAATACGAATTTCTGTGCATTTTGTCGTGGAATTCCGTGTTAAAACATCGACAAAATGCACAGAAATTCAGGTTTTCGTCAATTTTTTTGATTTTTTTTTCAACTTTTTAGCTGAAAATCCTAGAAAATCGAAACTTGCTCAAAATTCCTAAATTTTATTGAGAATTCTTACAATCTGGACTATAATAAGAGACTTTAAATTTGAAATTTTTTGAAAAAGAAAAATCCCGATTCTCATTTTTTTCGGAATATCCAAACTTCCAGATCATCAGCTCTGAAAATTTGGATCAGCTAGACGACGAAAATTTTCTGAAAATCTTGAAAAAAAAATCTGAAATTACTGTGCATTCTGTCGTCGAATTCCGTGTTCTATTGTCTATTCAATAAAACGTGGG